GGTAGGCTCGATGTTCGCTTTAATTAAATAGGTAAATGTAAAGGAAAGCTAAAGCCTATACACGTCCCACAGGTGGGCACAGGCTTCAATCCAGGATGTATGACTTCTCTAATTTCTGAAAGAGTTTTAGGGCAAGGAATGTCCGTCGCACAGCCAGAATGTGTGTTGACGGACGTTATATGTATTTGAAACGTTTGTTTAATAACTGTTTTTAAATCGCACAATGGTGGACTGCCAGTCATCCGCACGGTATGGATGGTATCACGAGTTCTGTTGCGATGTGCGATGTATTGTAGTTATTGTAATCTGGTAGCCGTGGCTAACTATGACATTGGGAATTCGAACACCTCAGTCCCCCACGAGACCACGGCTGCTGTAAATTGCTCCAAAGATCGGGAATATAAAATAAGTTAATATACGCGATAAAATTCCATAAAATCTAGTTTAATTTAAATGTATAGTGTTCGCGTAAATATAAGAAATCATTACGTATATTGCAGTTGTAGAACGAATGGCTCGGCTTGACCGGGGAGAGACAAAACTCTCACAGAATACCTGACTAAAATAGTAGCCTAATCCTGCTGTGTTTCATACGATGAGTGTAGAGAACCGGATACCCTTTTTACTAGAAACGAGGCATTCTGTCGAGAGTCTGTGAGTTGAGAACGCATCTGCATTTCGATTCTTTATTGAGGATAGATGCTATATCTCAAGGAATGCTGAAAATAACTTCAACTAAGAAGGCTTGAAATAATCGTTTGAGCTATAAGGGGCGACCTCAGTGCTTTAAGCTATTCTAGCCTTGTAAGGATGCTGTTTGATTAGTTTTTATACGTGGTAGAGCCATACTATAGCTACATTACTGGTATAGTTTTAGCTAGCACGACTGGGTTTGCTCGCTCGGGGAAGAACCACAGAATATCAGCGTAAAATAGCAGCTTAACGCTGCTGTGTTTCCTGTGGTGAGTAAAGAGAACCGGAGCCCCATTGTACTGGAAACGAGGCATTCCATTTTAGTCCTCGCGGGTGACAACGCATCTGCTTTTTGATTCGTAATCGAGGCTAGATGTAAATGTCTATGGGCCTCAGTAACCACTTACCATGTAGTGGACTATGTGCTCGTTTGTCACCCTTACCTTATGAAAAAAAGTTAATAGTACTAAAGATAATATCAGTTCCACCTAGCTTTTTTCTAGATATAGAAATAAGAAGTACAAATAGAATTAGAATTAGATGAAAAATATGTGCGTTTAAAATATATTATATGAATAAACATGATTGGATTGTTTTAAAGTTCATAAAGTGAAGTATTTTTAAAATGTATACTTTTAACATATGTCAGGGTTGAAACAAAGAAGATTGCAATCTCCTTTGTTTAATTTAATATAATTGCTTGAATATGACCTCAATGAGGGTTGATAGTCTTACGTTCACTAGATGTCGCTAGCTGAGTCTGAGGTGAAGTTATTTGTTACGCAGGTGGTCACATAGTCTCATCATAATTAAAAAGGAGCGATTTAATTGGAAGGTTTTCGGTTTCTAGTGTACGTATACACAAAACAATACCCCAGTACTGTATTCTTTAATTTCTTTCACATGTTTACCTTTTTTTGAAGTCATCTACTTTTAAGCCATCTACTTTCAAAAGTTAGTTTGATCCACCCATTTCTAATATCTGTTCTGATATGACTACTATTTCAGAAAGAAACATTATTCTCGACTCTTTTTAACAAATAAACTTACTCCGCTACGAAATTTGTCAAATATTTCACCTCATTCCTAAGTGACCACCCTGGTGGCAGAAAAAGTCGTCAACTCGATCAAGTCGTTTAGATGTTACACGATTACTAAAAGACGCACCAATCTATACTTAGTATAATAAAGAGGAAGCAATTTTTTTTTTGTTTAAACACGCTAATCTCTGGAACTGATCCGAGTTGAATTTTTTTTTTGAATATGATAGCTAGATTCACGTGGAATACTATCGGCTATGTAAAATTAGACTACACCTCTCAACTAGCCTTAAATACGTATTTTTATTGTGCAAGTGCAAGAAAAATAAGCGCACTCGCGCGTTAGTGATACGTAAATAAAATGTTCTATAAAAATATTTATCTCTACTCCATCTAAAAAAAACCCTGGTACCATAGGCCTATTTCTTGTACATAAGGCACACACAAGCCGTGGTATTTAGTGACAAACATTTTTGAGAATTAAAAAGTGATTTATGATCGTTGTTATTAGGCATGGTATATTAGATCTTACGAACAATAGTTACTTCAACAAGACAATTGTATGAAGATAAACTTTGTTTTTTTGTTTAAGAGATAATGAAAAATATAAAATAATTCGACACACGGCTCGGCGCGCGAATGACGCGTAAACCCTTTTTTTCGTATTTGTAAAATGATTTTCGTTTTAACGCTGCTAATATTTTTTTTAATTATTATTAAAAAAAGATTAGCAGCATATTCCCTACTCACAGGTTATATAGCCAATATTACATTTGGGTCGAGTCGACCGGAGAAGGATCACGCTCGCACGCGAATGCCAAAATGAAATAGCTGCATAATGATGCATAATGAGGCATTCCGTCCCAACTCGCAGTGGCTATCGCTTATTAGCATTTTGATTCGTAATCGAAGATAGATGTAGATGTGTATAAGCCACATCATTCATGTTTACCACAGTTACCATTAAGTGTAATGTGTACTCGTTCGTTACACTTTATTCTTTAAAAACCGTTATAAATAGTGGGAAAATAAACCTATTTACTTGCGGTTGAGTTGTGATAGCTTTGGGGTTAAGTGCTTGCCGTTAATTTCACAATATAACCCTGGTCGATCCCTTCAGCACCAATGAAATTTTTATAGTTCTTACTGTTTACGAAGTCATGCGGGCTTCACGCGTGGTTGAACGTGTACATGCACATTGCAATATGCGTACCTAACGGAGAGATCAGTTGTGAGTGTGCCGTCGCTAACCATACCAACTATTTGTGTGACACACACTTTGACACTTATACACATACGTGTTTACCACAAGTGAAAACTTGACTTCCTGCAAGCAAGAACTATAATTGAGTTTTTAAATGTGATTTAAAACTTGCTTGGCAGTGAAGAAAAACGTGATGAGGAAACCTGCGTGTCTGGGGTCATAGGTCATATCATACAAACATTGCGGCAAAGCGGAGGACACTTCCTTAAATTAGAAGATGCCTGTGTCCAGGATTAGGACGTATATATTGTGCTGTTTTTGTGGTTAAGATTTAAATACAATACAATACAATACTCTTTATTGTACACTAAGGAAACATAAATATAACAAACAATGAACAAAAAATGAGGGAAAGACAGAAGGCGGTCTTATTGCTACATAGCAATCTCTTCCAGACAACCCAGAAGAGGAAGATAGGGTGCACTAAATTAGAAAAAAATATACAAACTTATATACTAAAATGACATCATACTTTAAGGTAGATTAATGACCATAACTAGAGGAGGAAGAGAGAGGAGTTAAAGAGACAAACAGTGTTCCTTAATCTGATTCTTGAACACATTAAATGATTGAGCACTTTTAATGGACTGGGGAATGAGTTCCAGAGTCTTACTCCAAGAAGAGTAAAAGATTTATCATAAAATTTCGAGGAGTGTACAGGACATTGGAGCAAAAGATTTTCTTAGGACCGTAAGGAAAAGTCATGACAAGAGCTAAGAAATTTAAAACGTTCTTTTAGGTAGGTTCAAACTGACCCTGATAAACTTCCAATCTATCTACAGATATATTAGTGTTGCAAAATGAGGTTGCTATAATAAAAGAGACATACGCCACAAAAGATATGTTTAATACACAGAATCATCATAATATCAATGTAAACTACTTTTATGGGTGGTTTAGATTACGAGAGCGGCCCCATAGGACTACCGCACATATCTACTGAAGAGTACCGATCTATAAATCAGGGCAACATCGTACAAAATAACGAAATTAATGAAAAAACTGCGGCGGTAAACACACCTGTTGATATTGCCAGTGACTCAGTTGTTTCGTTTGTGCAAACGTCCTTGACGCACGGCAAGACGGACTCGACAAGTGAAGGAACACAGCGCGTGGAGGCCCCGACTGCGGTTTCGACAGGATCGGAGACCTACGACGCGGCTATACGACACGCCGCGCCTGTGCATCACTCCGGCACCGCGGTTTCGAACAGTGATAGTAAATTAGTCATCGCAGCGGCGGCCGCTTACCGTAACGCTGCAGACTAACGGAGCCGGAAAGGCGAGCGTGAACTAATGGCAGATGTAGTACGACATGGAAATTGGAAACCAGAGAAACCTAAGGAGGATTGGATTTTAGTGCAACGCAAATGTCTTCGGAATAGATTTATTGGTATGAAAGGGAAAGCTGAGTTGAGTCCTGAATGTAAGTTTAAGACGGCAGAGGTAAATATACCGTTCTACATTTATAATATTCATGTGGAATCTTCTGCTAATGATATCACTAGTTATATTAAGAGCAAAACAGGGGTTGATGTATTGTTGCAAAAGATAGATATGAAATTGAAAAAAGATTATGTAGCTTATAAATTTCTAATCCCTAGGGATAAATTGTCTATATTTATGAATGAGAACCTGTGGCCAACAGGTGTAGCTTTTCGCAAGCTTGTAAGTTTTAATAAAAAACCGAGGAGCTAAATTAACAATTAAATATTATAATATGAATAATTTAAAATCGAATAATAATAATAATACTAACCTGGTTTCTGAATTTATTAGTTTTAATTGTAAAAATGTGAATAGATCTATTGAATGTATTCGAACTCTCTGTAAAACTGCAGATATTGTAGCATTGCAGGAGACATGACTATTCCCTACGGAAATACCAATGCTGGGTGATATTGACGAGGACTTTGGTTATTAATTTATTATGGAAAGTCTTCTATGGACGCAACTAACCTAGTACGAGGCCGTCTATACGGGGGGGGGGGGGGGTTAGCTCTCTTATGGAGAAAGTCTATCTTTAATACCGTGGCTGTGGTGCAATGTAGTATTAATCGAATCGTGGCTGTAAGAATGGATTTGGCGGTTAGATCAATTTTAGTAATGTGTATATATATATGCCCACTAATAGTTACGATAATTTAGCTGAGTTTTGTGAATGTATGAGTGAAATAGCAGCGATAGTAGAAAGTTGTAATCTAGAGTCTGTCTTTATACTAGGTGATTTTAATGCAGATCCTATGGAGTTATTTGGTAAAGAGATGCAAAATTTTTGTATGGATCAGAAATGGTATTGCGCGGATATTTGTAAACTGGGGGTTGATTCAGGCGCGTATACTTTCGTTAGTGATGCATACGGCACTACGAGCTGGCTGGATCATTGTCTGGTTACCGATGCGGCTTGGCGGTCTCTAGATAGTGTTGACATTTACTATGACGTCTACTGGTCAGACCATCATCCACTGGTCCTACAAATTAATCTGGGTACGATTAGGCCAACTATACCTACTCTTTTAGAAAGCCAAGTTACAAATAAGGTTATTTGGGGGGAGAGAGATCAGTATCAAGTAGAGTCATACCGTAGGAAGTGTACAGAATTATTACGTGATATTGACTTTCCCGAGGACTTGAGCGCATGTTGTGATAAAATGTGTTCTAATATTGAGCACAAAATGGTCATTGATAATCTTTACAATAAAATTGTAAACGTGCTTAGGAAGGCTGCTGAGTTTAGTTGTGCTGCACCGAATATTAAAAAGAAGAAGCGTTATGTTGCTGGCTGGAATAAGTGTGAAGGGTGCGCATGAGACAGCTAGGCAGGCTTTTCTTAACTGGGTCTGGCATGGTCGGCCAAGAGCTGGTCGTTTATATCAGTATATGTGTGAATCACGTAAAATTTTTAAATCAAAATTAAAATCATGTCAAAAAAATCAGGAACAAATAAAATTAGACATTTTGGCTTCCCAACACAAAGCAAAAAATTTTGGAAAGTTCTGGAAACACACAAAAAAGCTAGGCCCTAAGCCGGCTGTTTCTGTAAGTGTGGGTGGATTATGTGACCCAAAACAGATAGCTAATCTATTTAGGGACCATTTTAAACTAGAGGCAGTATTACAGCAAGAAACAGAAGTGGGGTGAGCGATGGTGGGGTTGTCGGGACTGGTGAACCTATCCGTATTACAGCTAAGGATATAAAGCTGGTACTAAAGCAGATGACCAGAGGAAGGTCACCAGGTCATGATAGCCTCATTATTGAGCACCTTCATAATGCAGGACCGCATCTTCCAAGGATTTTGTCACTATTATATACTTTCTGTATTCGGCACTACTACTTGCCATTCGAGCTAATGAGGACCGTTGTTGTACCTATTTTAAAAAACAAGACTGGAGATATTTCTGACAAGACAAATTATAGGCCTATTTCTCTGTCAACTGTAATAGCTAAGGTGCTTGACGGCTTGCTTGAGCGACGGCTTAGTAACTTAATACAATTAAATGATGCGCAGTATGGCTTTCGACCTGGCCTATCAACAGAAAGTGCTATACTGTCGCTGAAGCATACTGTCAAATACACCCAGAGACAAACGCCAATGTATGCTGCGTTTCTGGATCTCTCAAAGGCATTTGACCTGGTTGACTATGATCTGCTTTGGTCAAAATTACGTGACATTGCTGTTCCAAATAAATTAATCACCACGTTGAAATATTGGTATGGCCATCAAGTTAACCAGGTCAAATGGTCTGGTGCGCTATCTGACGAATACATTTTGGAATGCGGGGCGAGGCAGGGGGGGTTATCCTCGCCTTTGCAGTTCAGTCTCTACGTTGACGGGCTCATTGGTGCACTCAGTAGCACCAGGATAGGCTGTTCCATTGACGGACAAATGGTTAATAGTATTAGATATGCTGATGACATGGTGTTGCTGAGTCCATCGGTGAGCGCATTGCGTAAGCTGTTGACTGTCTGTGAAGTATACGCTGCCAAACACGATCTCCTCTATAACACCAAAAAGAGTGAGTTAATGGTATTTCAAGTTGGTGCTAAAAAACCCCATGTTGTGCCTCCGGTCAAACTCCTTGGGGTGCCATTAAGTAGGGTGTCACAGTTTAAATATTTAGGACACATTGTTACAGAGAATCTCACAGACAACTGTGATATAGAGAGCGAGTGGAGAGCATTGGCGGTTCGATGCAATATGGTTGCCCGCAGGTTTGCTAGGTGTACTAGAGAAGTCAAAATTACTCTTTTCAAGGCTTACTGCCAAACCTTTTACACCTGCAGCCTGTTGTATAGCTATACGCAAAGGGCCTATAATGCACTTCGCATCCAATATAATAATGCCTTCAGGATGTTGATGGGCCTTCCCGTGTTCTGCAGTGCATCTGGCATGTTTGCTAAAGCGGGTTTTGATGATTTTCATGGCATCATATGGAAGCGAATATCGTCCAGCTGGCGCAGATAGCGGGGAGCACAAACGGCATCCTGAACGTAGTTAAAGATAGGCTTGATTGTCCCATTCAAGGGCATTGGACTCAAATGCATATGGGTGGGACACTTAAGTATCATAATTAATATTTTAAATTGTAAGTTATTTAATTTGATTTAATTTAATTTACTAACATAGCTTATAAGAAATTTATGAACAAATTTGTATGGATTTTTTAAACTGAAATGAACGTTTTATTATTATTATGGTTGGGGTATCTATATAAATTTCTCACCTGGTTGGGTTCTATAAATATATAATTATAAATTAAAATGAAAAGATAAATGTAATAAATATCAATAAAATAAAATAAATACAAAAACTACATAAATAAATAAGATCCAACCAGATGGGAGCCCTCGGCAGGGGAGACCAAACGGCCGAGGGTTAGGGGGAAAGGGAAAGAAACCGGCGGACGATGCGGGCGGTATCGAGGAGCACCGCCTTCTGCATTTGAGACCGGAGCGGTCCGTCACGGAGTCCCAGTCGCCTCAGATGACCCGAGAGGCTGACTGGGATTAGCCCATTCGCAGAGACGGCTACAGGAATAATTTCGGTCGACACACCACCCCACAAGTCGGTCACCTCGTGAGCCAGGTCCAGATATTATGTTCGTTTATCTGTTTCGACTTTCACGAGGTTCTCGTCATACGGAATGGTAATGTCGATCAAAAATATCCTTGACTGTGCCCGGTCCATCAGCACAATATCAGGCTTATTCGCAAGAATAGTCCTGTCTGTGATGATGGCCCGGTCCCAGTAGAGCCTGGCGCGGTCATTTTCGAGCACGGCTTCCGGCAAATTCCGGTCCACGAGACCGTATTTCAGAGCAAGCTCCTGGTGTAGAATTCTGGCTACTAGGTTGTGCCTGTGCAAGTACTCAGAGTTAGAAAGCGCCGAACAACCGGAGATGACATGCCTAAGTGACTCCCCGGGATGGCGACAAGCTCGACAGACGTCGACAGTGCCATCCTTTAGGATGTATCTCCGATGGTTGTTGGTCTTAATAACCTGATCCTATATTGCACAGATAAAACCCTCGGTTTCCCCGAAGAGGTCACCGAAACGTAGCCAGTTGAGGGAGGCGGCTGTATTTACGTGAGGCTCATGTAGAGCCCTGTAGTACCTCCCATGGAGCTCATTCTCCTTCCATACGGTCTCCCGGGAGAAATGCTCTGTACTGCCGGGTCTTGCCATTGCTCGTTGGCTAAGGATAGAGGGGTAAGTCCTTTATCACTAGAAATGACATCATTATAGAATGGATCATCCGATCTCGCCAGGAAGTAGTTACGGAGGCTGCACACTTCGCGATTATGCATGGTGTGCGCGCTCAAGAAGCCACGCCCACCATGCTTTCGCGGCAAGTACAGCCTCATTAACGACGATCTCGGATGATGCATCCTATGGGACGTCATTGTAGTGCGGACTTTTCTATCCAGGGCGTTAAGTTCAGTCTGACTCCACCTGAGTATGCCAAAGGTATACATGAGGACAGGCATGACCCAACCATTATATGCATGTGTCTTATTCACACCGGACAAAAGGCTGTTAAGCACTTTGGTCAAGCGTGCATAAAACACGTCGCAAACTGACTGTTTCATACCAGCCTCATCGATACCGATGTTCTGTGACATACCCAGGTATCGGTATGTTTCAGCCTCGGACAGGGCCCTTAAGTTGACGGGCATAGATAAGTCTATGCCCTCAGAGTTAGCAACCCTTCCCCTTTCAACATGGAGGACCGCACACTTATCCGTCCCCAGCTCCGTTCCAATAGAATTGCTAAATTCACAAGTGATGTTTAGCAATTCCATAAGATGGGAGCGACTGGAGGCGAATAATTTGAGGTCATCCATATAGAAAAGGTGGGTCACTTTTGTACCTCCCTTCCGAAGCTGAAATCCCCTCCCGGAGCCCTCCAGTAAAGTACTGAGAGGGTTCAAAGGGAGGCAGAACCAGATTGGACTCAACAGCCGCCCTGGAATATACCCCTTCTTATCCTTATGCGGCTTTCCGCAGCCGTCATCTGTTCGCCCAGATGACAGAGGATCGTACTCCACTGCCCCATACACTGCTCGAGAAAGTCTGAACAGTACAGTCAATCTTGTACAGCTCGAGGACCCTCTTTAGCCATGTATGGGGCACCGAGTCAAATGCCTTTCTGTAATCTATCCAAGCGGCGGAGAAGTTCCGACGGTTGCGTTTCACCACTTTGCCAATGACCGCGTCAATGAGGAGTGGTTCCTTGGTTCCACGACCGCCGCCCCGACATCCATTTTGAGCGCACGACATCACCTGATTTGAGTCCAGGTGACGAGCGATTCTCGCGCTCAAAATGGATGTTAGTGTCTTGTATATAGTCGGTAGACACGTGATGGGGCGGTATTTGCTCGGGTCTGTGGCACCCTGATCTTTAGGAACCAAATGAGTGATCCCAGTAGTGAAGAGGCTTGGGAGCGACTTCTGGTTGAGAGCCTCTTGAAACTGTCGGGCGAGCACAGCGTGACACACCATGAACCCCTTCAGCCAGTAGTGATACAGCCCGTCAAGCCCCGAACTTTTCCAGTTCGGGGCCCTACGGACCGCCTCAGCTACGTCATCCGGCGTTATGGTGACGGGATCCATGGGCGTAATACCCGCACACTGACTCACCACAACTTCCGTCCAAGGGCCCTCGTTGTGGTTTACGGGCTCTGACCACAGGCTGCGCCAGAATGCGACCGTGTCGGCCTGATTTGGTGCTGAGCCCGTTCCACTTACTATTGGTCGCTCCAATGATTCGTAGAGCCTCTTCTGATCACTCTGGAAGAGACGATTCTGGTTGAACCGTGTCGACCTCTCGGTATATCGCCGAATCCGCTTTCCCCAAGCAGCGATTCTTTGCTTCAGGTCGTCTATGCGCTCCGTCAGTTTTTGCGTTATATCCGGCTGGGACAAACTAATATTTGTCCCAGCTAACGCCATCCTGACGGTGCGCACAATCCTTGGCCTGGTATTGCCTGACCTGAAGCATATCAGTCTGCCGATGAGGGCCCTAGCCCTTGCGATACGTTCCTCAATTCTTCTTCTCCATGCTGGGATAGCGCTACTATGGCCAGTAGCGCGTCCAGCCGTGGAAACCTTGGCGCCTATGATACGGCAGACTGCCAACGCGGCGCCAAAAAGAATTGAGTCCGTCTCGCAAAGTTCCCGGCTGGCTTCCAAATAGGTCACCAGCATTGGGTTCAGAGCCCTCACGACAGCCCGATTCCACTTGCTTAGGGCTATGCGGGGAAGTCGCGGTCGATTTTCGAGAGGCATACTGCGCGTTTCCACAATCGCCTCCTCCAATGTACTCCTAATTTGCTCTAGTTCCAGTTCCTGGGCGACTGTTCCGTCATCGTTTGAGTCAACCACAACTAGCCTATTTACGGCGGCATCCACATTTGCCGTTTGCTCAGCAAGTTGTGGCGCCGCATCCTCAGCCGCAGCATTTTCACCCGATGAAGGAACAGCCTCACGTCGTAGCCGTTCGAGTTCGGTGACATCAAATGTATTTGAGCGCAAGATATACTGAACTCGGTCTGCCAGGTTTTGCTCGGTGACGGTTACAGATGGCTCCAGCTCAACCTCCAGATACGCAAAACCTCCAGTTTCTCCCCCCTTTCGCCCTAAAATACGCCCGCAATGCGTTGCTGTTTATCTGGGTTGTCCAACGCATGCGGCGTACTCCACCAGTGGCGGGTGCCGATTGCTGGGCCCGCGAAGACCCTGCCGACACCAAACCAGCTGGTGGGGATGATAGATGCGAGGGGCTGCTGGGTGGTCGTGCAGCACCTCGTGCTCGGCTGGCGGTTCGCATGCTGTCGCGTCCAGCGCCAGCTCCAGACGCGCCCTGGCGACCTCCAGGCAGCGGCCCTTTGCGCGTTCTTCCGTATTCCCTCATCCATAGAGGTGGGCGTCATTTAGCGGGAGACGCCCAGACCCGGCGCCGTTTCAAGATGAGGCCATGTGCACAAGCGGGCCTTTGCACCTTCAATTTTTGCCGAGGCACGGCACTAACACCTCTCGGCAAGGTGCTGACTGACTGCGCTGACGCACCGGTTTTGTCACATAACCGTTACGTCAGCGGGCGATGGGGTCCCGGCAACATACTTGCGATTCCCCTGGTAATGCCATGTCCATGAGCGACGGTGATCACTTCCCATGTAGTGAGCCGATTCTTTGTTTGCCTTCACTTCTATAAAAAATATGAGCTGATCCGCTAATGTTATGAGGAAGATCAAAATCATTCAAAGTGCGGATGAAAGGATAGTCCTCGGAATTTCTCTGCTGTATAAAATCCATATCTCATCATATCTATATATGAGGATATCTCCTGTCTCTTGAATCCCTTGTATGTGCGTGCGCGTATACACTTCGTCGCTTCTCCGTGTGAGTTGTGTATTGCGTGTGCCTTTCCATTCGACTATAGTTACACCTGACTCGTTCACCGCTTGTATACGCATTTTGTATTTCTTTTTAATGTTATTTAACTTATTTCACACATTATTTCTATATCGGTTTTAATTAATAGTAAATTATACCATCAACTATGATGTTTCACATCTGCTGGGCGTCCCATGTCAGCCATTTTTGATACACGTAGTTTTCCTCAAGATATTTTTCTTCACCGTTTAGCACGAAGTAAGTCAGTACTTAAAATTGCAATTAACAATCTAATTGGTGCCAGCGGGGAACAAACCCAAGTTGCTCGCGTACTGCGTAACTTTTTTTAATACATACATAAACACTCACGCCTGTCACCCAAACGTGTAGGTAGAGACTACAGATTTCTTTGGCACTATCATGACACACCTCTCTCGCCTCTTTTACCTCTATATATCTATATATACTCGCTTGTCGGTTAAGGCTGCACTTAATTTAGCACATTTTCAATATATCGCCAATTTGGTCAATAAACTTTTACCTAGGACGCCCCTTTTCGACTCTGTCCTTCATTTCTGCAATAAAAGTTTGCTTTGTCACTCTTTCCTCATTCATTCTTTCTACATGAGCAATTTTTTTTTTTTGATATAACAAGGGTGACAAACGAGTACACAGTCCACTTGATGGTACGTGGTTGATGTGGCTTATAGACATATTCATATATTCTTGATTAAAAATCAAAATGTGGATTTGTTGTCACATTTCAGGACTAAGATGGAGTGCATCGTATCCAGTAAAGAGCGTCTCTGCTTCTTTACACTCACCCTACGGAACACAACAACATTAAGCTGCTATTTTACGCCGGTATTCTATGAGAGTGTGGTCCTTCCCCGGTTAAGCCACCCAATGTGTACTACAACTATATTAAAGCTGCAGCATGATTCTACCACGTACCTATAACTTACAGGGAACGCTTAGCCCCTGAGCCACCACTCCTCTAAATATAGCTAGCTCTAATAATAGCTTGTTAAAAATTTAATAACATGAAAGAACAATATTAACTTTACAAGAATAACTTGCATGTAGGGGTTAGCGCAAACTATATATCACTGGCAGCAATTTAAACGTCTCCTCGCCTACACGAAAGGATAAATTCAACAAAGTGTCAAACGAGTAGCCAACTTTATCGCCTGGTCTTAAAGCTTTCTTGAGTTAGCTGTTTGTGCTACTTTTGAGGCAAGCCTCATTATCGTATGGTGATTGAAACAATTAATACCAATGCGTGCTTTTCAAAAATAAAGTAAAAAGGCAAAGTATTTTTTTATAAAGCTGAAATGACAATCGAAGTTACAGTTATTTATTTTTAATTTATTTATCTCTTTACTTTTTATTACATAATTACAACATCATTACAGTTCTATTCACCAATGCGTTGCCATAACTAATATATGTGGAATTAAACTACTGAATAATAAATAAGTAATAATAACTATCAACCTGAATATAAAATACAGTTTTAACGAACTTGAAATTACAATATTTAACATATTTATATGCTGCTATTATGAATTTCGTCTGATTGCAGGTAAATAATATTTCAATAATAGCTATGAGTGGTAGGGCTACGCTGCTGCTTTATTATGGTTGTAGCATGAATGAGTCGCCTCGATCGGAGTAGGACCACGCTCTCACAGAACACCAGAGTAAAATAGCAGTTTAATGCTGATGTGCTTCGTATGGTAAGTGTAGGCAACCGGAGACCTTTTTGTACTAAAAACGAGGCATTCAAGCTTAGTCTTCAGGGATGGCAACGAACATGAAATTTGGTTCTCAATCGAGGATAAATGTAAATGTGTATGGCCACAGTATCTACTTATCACCATTTTTGTCACCCTTATTTGATAAAAGAAATCCTGTTAGGTGATAATAACATGGCGTATAGCACGTGACAATGGTTATAAACCGTCTGAATCAAAACTAAAGACGGATTGCCTCAAAGTGTGTAATCATATTGACTCTATACCCACCAGATCAGAACACAACAATGCAGGTACTAACTACTATTTGGCGACAGCAGTAAACAAGACATACGCACTCTGCGGACTGCTACTGACACAAAAGGAGTCCTATCAGCTCAAAAACAATTGACTTAATTTAAATTTTTATTCAACAAAAAAACAAAAAAATTACAATTAACTGGATATCTGCTTATACTTTATTTATAATAAAAACGTTACTCGCTAAGTATTTTTCCTGTCGTGGCAGTGCTGTACAATGTATCTATATGCCGAATATTATTTAAGTAATGGAATTAATATGGGCCACGCTACGCACCCCTCACCAATCCTTCTTTAGATAAAGACAACTCTTAACACAATCATTTAAGCTTACTTAAAGTGGTTAAAAATAGTATTCTCATAAAAAATTGATTCCAAAATTGTATTATGTAGTGTATCTAATAAAATAATTAAATATTTAATAATTCAGAAAAAATCCCAACAAAAGCTAATTGAAATTCAAATTATGCGCATAAGCCACGAATCCTTTGAAATCACGTTTTAATATTTTTCCGCTACCATGTTAAGAAGGGGGGGGGGGATTGGGCCTCCGGCCACCTACACTCACCAAGCGAAACGCAGAGCTAACTTTACCTCACCTAGGATTGAGCCGGCCTATCCATGCGACAGCAAAAGCTGCCGCGTGGCTCTACCGCTTTAAAATTACATCATTTTGCTGCTCAATAGAAGCAGATAGCTGGGTAGCCAAGTTCTTGGTCCTACTTGTATTCAAAATTTTCTTAGTTAAATTATTAATGTCTATAAAATTAATCCTATTATAATTCTTACAATCAGAGATAGTGCAAGATTACTGAGAAACGTGCATTTATATCTAAATGAGGCGCGAGTACAGACCGTGAAGTGGCTATGTAAGAATATCCACTGCTCCAAATTTCAAAATTAAAAAAAATCCTCCTATTCAGCGGTGTATTTTTATGGGCTGTAATGGGTGGACGAAATGGAGGTACGTTTAAATATCGGTTTGTGAGATTCACCGTTTAAATAACGGTGAATCTCACCACCATCCTGCACAGTGACTTATCGTGGGAAAATCTTTGTTACAGCAAACACCTGGCTGCCGAGCTTCAGCACGTCAATCAGGTTCTGCAGTCTGCACGACAACAAGCTTCGGGTCCCGTGCCTACCTCACAGTGACCGAGTGAAACCGGCCACAGTTGAGCGTGTGCCTGCTGTGCTACCATATTGTCAGAGGTGTCACAGACAAGATTGGCTACATCTTCAAGCGAGCTTCTATTAGAATATTCTACAAGCCACCGATGAAGATTACTCAGTGTTTATCATCTGTCAAGTGTCATATTCCTCTACAGGATGCAGGAGTTTACATGCTTGATTGTGAATGTGGTATCTCATACATAGGGCAAACAAAAAGATCAATTAAATCCCACGTAAAAAACTTATATCTGACGTGAAGCAGCAACGTTCCGGAAGTCTGCACTTTATGATCATATCCTATGCGGTCCCAACCATTACATCAGATTTGATAGACCGCAACTCCTCGCGAAAGAACGTTGATTTCTACCAAGGATGATATGTGAGGCTATTGAGATTAAACAACATCCTAATTTCAATAGAGAAGGAGGCTAGGTACTACCACCTGCTTGGGACCCTATAATTAAGAAAATTAAAACTAAACCCTAGTATACTACTGAAAGACTTCAAGACACAGTAAGTTCATTCCGCATAGATTGGACCATAAACAACAATTAAAAAGCTGAAGGTACTCCGGGTTAACATTGACATCGGGACGTCCTTCACCTTAGTCCCCGGTGACCATGGGTCAGGAATTTAAAAATCATTTAGAATTAAACGCGATAAAATCCGTAAGAGAAATATAAGAAATCATTATATTTCTTCAATTTAATTTTACTGCAATTAATCCTAACTGTATTTCCTGAAGTAGAAGAGTCGTCACCTGCAGGTAAGCAGCATGCTCATTTAATAGGAATCCATGTTCCTTCGCGAGGATTTGTGGTCCATCATATCTGATGTAATAGCCGTCTAGGATATGATAACAAAACGATAAAATCCGTAAAACTAGTTTCGTTCAATAAGTCAAATACAAGAAATCAAATGTAGATAGTTTTATAATAATTTCGTACGTATAGAAGATGTGCCCTTAGTCAAATTTAGTGTGTGTGTACCAGCGAAACTTTTTCATATACTGC